AATATATAACACTTCTTTTTTTACTTAAAATGTACAACCTGATTTGAATGAAACATATGTAAGGATTGTGAAAGAAACGCACGGAATATATTTGTAACCAATCGATACGCTTTCAACAAGATGTAACGAAAGATGATTTTTTAAAATGTCTTTTTGTTTAACTAAAACAATAAAAAAAATTCTCAAAAAATAAATAAATATGATTTGTGTAGAAAAACTAGAGTCCTGAAATTAACACATTGAAAAAGAGTGAGATTTGCTATGATCTTTGTTTCCAGTTTTTGGGTCAATAGACTGAAGTATAGTAGGAAGAAAGGTTCTGTTTGAGAGCAAGGCATATTGAGAAAAGGCATCACATTTCTTATAGGGGTCTTTGTTATGACCTCCCCTCTACTGTTTTTCAGGAAGCAAGCTTGCCCTTCAAACGTTATTAGTAAAGATTATCCTGTCTTCCCTGCTAAGTCTTTATTTATAAGTGGTCTGATGCCTTTTGGGAAGTATAACCCTTAAAATGGGATATTTTCAAAGGAGTGTCAGATGGATTTAACTATTCCTATCCCAGTGGTAATAAATGAAGCCATGCAGAAATGCTACAAAATGTCATTAATGACTGAAGGTGCTTTATTAAGGAGCATCTAGATATGACATATGCGGGAATATACATCTTACAGAAACTTCTCTTTTGTTTACATCTGCATCAAAACTTGAATTGTGGGAGAGAATAAAAACTACTTGCCATCCAAGTGGGATAGTGGGATTTGGAGGTAAGAAAAAAATGTAATCAGGGCTAGATATGCCTCAGTGCTTCTCAGATAGTAAAAGAACAACATATAATTGTTTGAAGGAAACACCAAAGAACTTTTAGATTCCTTGGAGAAATCTTTGGGTGTTTTTCATTAGATAATATACCTGTAGCTTCAATAATGGAGAAGATTTTTTTTTAAAACTGCTTTCCTAATCCATGCAATGTGCATATCAGGGAAGACTTATTTATCAAACTTTGTGCAAAAGCAATGTTGCTGCTATTGAAAAAGCTATTTCTCTAATCTGTTTTCCTGTTTGGCTAGCTCACAACGATACCAAATGCTTTTTATGTGTTCAAGCCACTGCACAATTTCAGTTTAGTTCACAACTGCATTAATGTGAGACCAGCTACTATTGATGAGATTGCAAGGTGAAAGAAGAGGTTTAAGGATATTAAACTTTATATTCCTTGATTATAGGAACACAAGTGAGGCAGTATGTTTTCTCTAGAAGGCATTTGGAAGTGTATATTAATAGAGAGACAACTATAGTTAGTAGGGCTGGTTGAAATAATTCAATATTAATAATTCTTTTAGGCTTATAGTTACTATTTAATGCCTTTGTCTTCATATTAATAACAAGAGAAATATGTGGGATGAAAATTTTGGCTTAAGCTATACTATTGAACTTAATAGGTAGCTGCTGTACTTTTCACGACTGGAGAGTGTCAAACAGTGTGTAATCAGCGAGATAGCCATGTTGATTAGATTGTAAATCTCAAATGAATATTCAGGAAGTGATGGGTTTTTAAAAATCTAAAACAAAGACAAATTTAGATTTAAAATTTGCCGATAAAAATGTAATTTTAATTGAATGTGATCTTAAGAAACAATATGTGAGAACTTAAACAGTAGTATCATTGTGGTTATCTGACTCTTAATTATTTTACTAAATACATTATTAATAAATTGGTACTTGTTTCTAAATATTTTATCATAGTGATGTTGCCCTTAAAATAAATATATATTTTAATCAAACAAAAGCAGTTTATTTTAAAATTAAATACATTTGGGATTCTCTTTGAATTGAA